GGTTACCATTCCGTTATCATTCACAAAAATAGAAAACAAATGATAAATAAATAGTTCGGTAGATACATTTTCGTTACTACACACAATGTTGCTTAACTTACGTATATTACGTATACAAAATAATATTTTTTGTTCAAAACAAAACAACGGCCGTATGCCACATGAATAAACAATAATTATTAGGTAGATATTCCGACTGGGGATTTTGGGATTTCCAATAATGTATGGCTATTGGAAATAATTTCATATTGACCGCTAACTGTATTTGCGTTTAATTACTTTGCTAAACGTTGCCTGTTTTATTTGAAAATAATGAAAATTTTAATTAATTTAATTTAATTGCCTACCTGATGAATATTACCGAACAATAAAATTAATGATAAATACTAGCTAATGAGATAGAGTTATTGTTTTATTTATTAAACGATGCTGTATTCGAGTATCGTACATATAAATTTAATATAACATTTCCGCGTTAACGTGATGATGAAATCAATGCGGAAATCATCACTTAACTGTCTTATGGTGGACATAGAACTCACCAATAAATGTAGCTATTATTAGTAGCTGCCACGCTTAAGAGGCTTAACAACCGAAGCTAAGCTTTGGTGATGTTTTAAGAGGGACGTTGCCACTCATTCCTCGATCATTAAATTCCCCTAGTCGCCTCTTACGACACCCACGGAAAAGGAAACGGTGGTTCATTCTTTCCCGGGATTATACGGCATTTGTATTATATAGAAAACTTGCTATTTTCTCGAATTTATAATTAAATAAAATAGATTTGTAATGAGAGCGACATGATTAAATGAACCATCTCACCTCGAATTCGAAGATAACTCATTTACGCCTACAAATATTAGTTCTTATTATTATGGTTGGATTAGTGTACAGAGAATTTTGATCTTTATTTTTATAATTATAGAGAAACTTATTAAGAAATCACCGGATTAATAAAGCCTTGTCGACTTGAACATTACCTAAACAGAGGTTTATGCGACGTAGGCGTTCACAATAGAGGGCTTTTTGTGAAATCCCACGGGAAAAGAAGGAAAAGATTCAGCGTGGGCCGAAGCCAAGGTATTTCCTTCTAATACCCTCTCGAGCCAATAAATAGGTAATGGCCTAAATAAATTAAATTGATTAAGTATATCACGTGAGATGTACGAGGTCTGTCCGGAAAGTTCGTATAAAAGTGTTCTGGAATGCGAGAAAGAGGAGTGGGGAGGCCAGGTAAGCGCAGGACCCCTTCCTTATGTCCCTAACAATGCTTCAGTTCTGGTCTGACCGCCGTGCGGTGCGAACTGGCTTGTCACGCCATCTGTGAAGTTACCTCTTAACGAAACCCCGTCGGCATGGAGCCCGCTTCCGTTGAAGAGCAGCGCGTCGTAATCAAGTTTCTCTCGAAACTCGGCAAGAATGGCCGTGAAATTTTTGCCGATCTCAGAACAGTTTATGGGGATGATGCTGTGAAGGAACCAACCGTCCACAAGTGGCTAAAAAGATTCAGAGAGGGCCGAGAAAGCGTTCAAGATGACCCACGTTCAGGACGTCCTTCCACTTCACATTCCGACGAAAACGTGGAAAGAATTCGAACTTGTGTTAATGGGGACCGTCGTTTAACGGTCAGACAGGTGGCTGAAGAGCTTAATTTGGGCAAAACCGTGGTCCACGAAATTCTAAGAAACGAACTTCAAATGAAAAAAATTTGCGCCAAGATCGTTCCGTGAGTTTTTGAGTAAAAATTCCATTACGGTGACCGAACACCCCCCCTATTCGCCGGATTTGGCCCCGTGTGACTTCTTCTTGTTCCCAAAAACCAAATTGGTACTTCGGGGGCGGCATTTGGGGGACATAAATGAGATAAAAAAAGCTACGACGGGGCAGCTGAGAAACCTACAACCAGAGGACTTTCAAGGAGCCTTCTCACAGTGGAAACGGCGTTGGCACAAGTGCATTATGTCACAGGGGGAGTACTTTGAAGGGGATAAAATTGATTTACCTGAATAATTGTAAATTAAATTTTTAAAAAACTTTTATACGAACTTTCCGGACAGACCTCGTATACTGAGTTTGATCTATTGATAGGTTTTATAATAATTTTTGACTTGTCGTATTTTTAAGTTTTGTTTTTATAAACAAAAATAATTGATCATATTTATAAATCATATTGTCTCTGTGTTTGTTATGACACCGTTCATAACTTACATATGTCGTGCTATTTATTTATTTATTTATTTATACTCTATTGTACATAATTATAATTTATTTTCAATAAAGATGTACAATAGGCGAAGTTAACTCTTCTCTTACAGCAAACTATGAGTGGAAAGAAGCATTAATTAACAGCAAGCAGTATGCGTACAATAAAAAGAGGAAACATGGTGTTTTTGGTTATGGTGTTTTATAAGGAAATTAGGATTACTTAAATATATTAGTATGTATTATAGGTGGTTAAGTAAGTTAGTACTTACATGCTCACATTCAAAATATACAAATAACCGTATAGAAAGGAAAATTTTGTACAAAATCCGTTTGGTTGGACACCTCTGTCCCATTCGTGTTTCTACCGAAAAAAAGTTGTTTTTTAGACATATGGTGCGGTTTGAATGACAGAATATGGTAGTAAAATTACTAAATACGGAGAAGTAATATTTTAGACCTCAAGAATATAATTAAGTGATAAGTATTATTAACATAAACTTTATTCCTTTTTATTTATTTTTTTACTCGCTTTCGCTTTAAACTTAATCTTGCTGGTTACTCTGAGTTAAAGATTGTTTCATTTGCTCTTCTAATACAATTAATAATAATATAATAATAATAATAATATATTAATTTATGTCTCCTCACAAACAACTTAAATTTACACATAGGTATTTAGGATAAAATAAAATTAAAATAATATGAAACTCTGCTGTGAGGAGCTGGTGTCTGTAATAGGTTAAGACCTGTAGTACTGATCACCAGGCCCCCAATCGATATGTGTTTAAATAATAATTAGACATAATACATTCCATTGAAATTACACAATCCAAAAATAAAAATAAGAAACAATAATTAATAGTAGGAGATAAAAAAAGAACAATACAGTTAATTGTTTATTATAGTATTAGTATTATAGTATTTATTTATGTATGCACTTATTTATACATTTATTATGTTTATACTAGTATATTTATATGTTTATAATAATTGAGTATATTAAATATTACTTTTTATATTTCCTCAATTCAATAATGCACCGCCTACTTATTTCTCCGTTTGCCCAATAGTTAAAAAGTAAAGAATACCGTCCGGTATTAAATCTGCCATATGTAAATAGTTTCACTGTGTATTACAGTTTAAGTAAATATGTATAACTTTTTATCAAGTAGATCATCAGTTTGATTGCTATTCTAAGTTGCATAGAACCTATTTGTTAATTCTAGATTTCATCCATCCATAATTATGAAATTTTATTAAAATACTGTAACTCATATTGTTAACATCTGTAATTATTTATACGTATGGTTCCCGTGGGTGTCGTAAGTCGTGTTACTACCGTGAAAAAGTTGCATTTGCATGGCTATGTTTCAGCCTGAAAGGTGGGATATGGCAGTGGAATTACAGGGCATCCAGGTATAACACCTTATTTCTCAGGAATGGTAACGCGTGAAGGTTTTTTTTTAATGGAAGATAATTCAATGGCTACCCTACCTGCGTCAACAGTATACGCCGGCAGGATACCAGTGAGGGATGATAGGTGAGGATGGAAAGGCAAGTCAGTTAGCCCATCGTGAATATGTAATTCCGCATGATGGTTCCCAAGGGGGGGCACGGAAAGGTCGACCTGACAGGGTATATTCCTAGCAATAGGACTGGTAATCTGCATTACTAACAATTCCCCCCCCCCATGCATGAAAGTTATCATGGGTGATACCAGTATACTATAGTCTATGATATGGGTTCCTGTCACAGGGTGATAGTTACAAGTTTCTAATAGGTGGCACATTGGCTACTTTGTCATATTTAGTTCCTAAAAATGTAAAATTAAATAATTATTTAATTCTGTCTACCCACCTTGTATGTAATTTGTTTTAGAAATAATAAAAAATAATAGAAGTCATTTAAGAAAAAATAATATTGGGAGTCTTAATAAGAGAAATAGAAGTCGATACAATCATTTTTAAAATTTATATCTATATGTCTCTATATGAAACTACTGTATTAAACTGAATGTAGTTTTCAGTTTTTTTTTTTTTTTTATAGCACAAAGGCAGCAAACAAGCATACAGCCCGTCTTACGGTAAACGATTACTGTAGCCTATAGATGCCTGCAACATTAAGGATGTCATGTGCACGTTGCCCACCCACGTTGTGTTTATGAATGTCTAACTTAAAATCTGCTGCAAGTTTTATCTCAATACTCCATCTAGAGGGAGACTTTGTACAAAAGTCGATTGCTTGAGTACCTCTGTCCCATTCGTGTTTCAACCGTGAAGCAGTTGTGTTTGCATGGCTGTGTTTCGGTTTGAAGGGTGGGATATGGCGTGAATTTACTGGGTACAGAGGAGTAACACCTGAGTCCTCAGGAATGGCAACGCATGGGGGGTATCATGGGCGAAACAGTTTAGTCTGTTATGTCCATGGTACTGCTCATGTCTATAGGCGACAGTTAGCACTTTCCATCAGGTGGGCCGTCAGCTTGTTTGCCATTCTAAGTTGTATAAAAAAATAAAAATCTAGAAGTGGCTGTCTACTTTCAATATCCACGCGTACGAGGTTGTGGACTAAATCTTACTTATATTATAAAGAAAAAAAATTTGTTTTTTCAAAAATTTCTCAACCATTTTTAAAATACGTTTCACTTATATAAAGATACATTACCAACGAGTAATAGCATATATTAACATAATAACCATAATATTTTCAAAAATCGTTTTCGGTAAATCGGGTCGGATTGCTTGTAATAAAAAATATAGAAAAATATTATAGTGAAAAAATAACAATGAACTCACCTGATAATGTGTTTGTACAACCACGGCCCTAAAAACTATTGATGCATCTTGAACTCTGGTCTCAAGTGGCTTCTCCGCAAACTTTGGACAGAGACTGTCACAAACTATTGTCCGGAACAAGAATAGAACCACCACTAATAAATCTCTGTTAGAAACTCTGCCCATTGCTGGACAAAAGGAAAATGCCATGTTTAACGTTATTTCTCAACGATTAGATTACATTTTTGTATGGCACGTCCATCGCACTACACAGTTTTGCTTTGCTCTTCTTTTTTTCTGACGTTTCCTGGTTTGCATTTTATCTGTAATAAGTAAATATTCGGTTATATTCAGTAGTGGATAAATTACAATTTATATATAAACAGGTTAAAAATCAACATTATGGCTATCCATTAGATTATATATTGAAATTGAAATCATTTATTTGCTGAAATAAGGCACATTTTTATAGGTGTTCCTTTACAAGAAAAATAGGCCAATCTTATTCTGCCACACTGTAGGCGTGCAAATATAAAAACTTATTACACAAAAAATTAAAATAATTTCATCATAATAAAATATACATATATATAGATAGAGTGTCTCCTTACAAATGCTTCGAGAAAAGCGTTTCATACAATTTTGTGTGATAAATAATTATGAGTTTTTCCTTTATAACTTCTATATTTATTTTATTTTATAATTTTTGCATCATGCGTAAAAACACATTTTATTTTGTTCATCATCACCTATCATCACTCACTGGTGCCCCGCCGACGTATACAGTTACCGCAAGCGGGGTTCCCATTCCATTTTCATCCATTAAACCTAAATGGATACTGCAACAATATACATTTTGGGTATCGCTATTTATCATAAGCAAGTTCATGTCACCATGCTTCGTTTCTGTTTAAATCTTGACTAAACAACTTAAAATTAAAAATAAATTCACGATTTATAATACCACTAGCTTTATCCCGCGGTTTCGGTTGTAGTTGTATCACGATGTTGAATAGCATATGAATGTAATATTTCTCAATAACTGAGCTATTGAGTGTAAAATTTATTTTTTAAATTAACTGGTAACTCCAAAAGTTAACGCGTACTAATGAATAATAAAATTCACCTATTTTATCATATTAGCATACTCTGTTATGTCCATGGTACTGCTCATGTCTATAGGCGACGGTTACCACTTTCCATCAGGTGGGCCGTCAGCTTGTTTGCCATTCTAAGTTGTATAAAAAAAAAAAAAAAAAATAAAAAAATAAAAATAGTCAACCTTTGGAAAGCTGAAAGAAAACCCTAGAATGTTCAAAGGTAAAAACCGTACAGCTAAAGATAAGCTCAATAATATCTAGAAATGAAATGAAATTTATTTGCTAGAAACATTGTAGAAAAGGTGTCGCATTTATGAAGTTTATAAGATGTCCATTATGTTTCGCCACATCAAATGGCACGCAAATATTAATTATTGAATTTATCCATTGGCCATTTCATACAGGTACATTATATATTTAATTTTCAGTTCAGTTAAAATTGAACGTAAAATACAATTGAAAATAACTGTATGCACGTACATATGTATTAAATATATATAGCATATATATATTATTATATTATTATTATAGCCTTTTATCCACTTCCGTGGTCCCCAAGGGTAAAAGCCTCCTCCATCTTTTTCCACTTCTCCTTATCTATAGTAATACTTGTCCATTTTTTCCTGCTATCTTTATTATGTCATCTGCCCATCTCTTTCTTTGTCTTCCAACATTTCTTTTTCCTGCTGGGCCTCGCCATTTTGTTGTTTGGAGAGTCCACCTTTTATCTTTGTACCTCACTATATGACCTGCCCATCTCCACTTCTGTTTCATACTATGCTGAAGAGCATCTTTTATTTTGGTTTTCTTCCTAATATCAGTGTTTCTTATTTTCAGCATATATATATGCAGCCCCGTAAATTTTCGTATATCTACTTACCCATGACAAGTATATAATTTAAATCTATTATAGATATTTAATTATTATTAATTTAATTTAATTTTTATTAATTTAAATTCCATAAAAATCTATAATATCAGTTTCCTATTCATATCCATCGATTATACGATACTATTTAAAAATTTACGTGTCTAGACGTTATTAAACGAGGTTGACTCAGAATTATAATTTGTATGTTAAGTTACTAATTGTAAACTAGAATAACTGATATTATAATTATGTAACTGTAATTAATATAATAACTGTAGAATTTTGCATATTTTCATTATTGAAAAATAAAAAAAGAGATAGCAAAATAATGTAAGAGTTATGCAATAATGTAAGTCTATTTATTTATTTATTTTGACATTACATTTGGAAGTAACAGCTTATATCTAGAATAAATATATATATATAAGCTGTTAATTCTACCATACATTAGCTTACATTACTAATTAATAATTTAATATGTATTTCACAAAACACTACGTCAATTATAGCAAAATCAGTCATTTGTAACCTCTGTCCCATTCGTGTTTCAACCGTGCAGCAGTTGTGTTTGAATGGCTGTGTTTCGGTTTGAAGGGTGGGATATGTCGTGAATTTACAGGGTACAGAGGAATAATACCTGAGTCCTCAGGAATGGCAACGCATGGGGGGTTTCATGGGCGAAACAGTATACTCTGTTATGTCCATGGTAGCTGGGCCGTCAGCTTGTTTGCCATTCTAAATTGTATAAAAAAATAATAATTTCTAAAAACTACATTTCTATCGGGCCAATCTGTAAATATATCCTTTCATAAAATATTCAAAATTCGTTTATGATGAAATTGTTGTTGTAAATAGCAGGATTCAGTAATAAAATATATCGTCATAGTCGTAGAATACTGACGGATCTGACAAATATTACATATATAGATCCGTCAGTATTCTACGACTATGACGATATATGTATTTATGATATAAAATACAAGATATGTCCTATGAAAATCTGACATAGTACAAACTTAAAAATTAAATGTTCAACAGTTGTGAAGTAACGAATATAAAAAAAATATATATAATCGAATTTAGAACTTCCATCTTTTTGAAGTCGGTTAAAAACACTATATATGTATATATGTATACATATATACAATGATGCGCTAAGGATTCAAAAAGATGTGCATAAAATATATTGTTTTTTAATTGTATGAGTCCTAAGAGCTTATTTATGCTCTAAATAATGAAACGTGGAGACATAACAAGGAGTCCATTTTGTCCAGCAGTGGGACGCGATATGGGCTTAAAAATAGCTTATTAAAAAATTTCAAAAACTTTACAGGCTTAGGTTAAGTGAATACAAAGTGACCTGTTTTATTTATAATTTTAGTACCAATCTTAAAAGTAAGATGTAACTATGTACCAAATATCACTCATTAATTTATCTTAGTTTTTCTAATAAGAGGCAACTATAGTTGAAGGATAGGTAGCAATATGCCTTTTTAAATATCACCAAAACTTATGCCCCAATTGCGCTTGTAAACCCGCTTGCCAAGCGTAGCAACTATTTATCAAATCCCTCTATTGGGGTAATTGGTTTATGACCACTTAGCGCCTTAATGACTTAACCAATCACTATAAAACTTGGTATATACGTATTAAATGGGAGAGAAAAGGACAGGCTACTTTTTATCTCCCCTATCACGCAGACGAAATTAAAAGCTAATGAATAAAAAAAATCTATAATCTTTTCAACCATCATTCATTTCGTATAAGCTTTTATATGTAACGTCTTTAGAGTCTTTACATTCAAATTCACACGGTAACCGCAGCTCGTTTACGTCAGAACCAATAATTAAATTTACATACATAAAACATGTATGTAATTTGACGTGTATTGAATTAAGGAAAGTTAATTGTGATTTCAGGTGGCTTTGTTTACTATTTATTTATTTATTTATTCATAGGAAAACCAGGGCTACATTAAAGCAAAAAATACAGTTTAGGATCACAAAATAAGCTACTAAAAGGTTTTCATAAGTAGCAACAATGTAGATACAAGGCGCTGTACACAAAGAAACAAAAAAGGAGATAACAAAAACAAATACGAACAAACAAGAGGAGTGAAAACAAAAATAAAATAATGTTGAATAAAATACAAAGTAACAATTAAATGTAAATATTTGATTAAAATATGGCCTTCTTATCCATACAATAGTCATTCAAACTGACTAAGAATAAAAAAATTGCATACTCAGTTGGTCTCTCACTGATATTATATTTTTCGAAAATAGATCTATATTAAGAGTTTTAAAAAAGTATTAAAGTTATTTCTAGCTCGCCATAGGAACGAATTTTGACTATAATTCGATGACACTAGTGGGACAAATAGAGTAAAATTATGCCTTCTCAACTTAATTGGTACATTTATAACCAAAGAATCTTATTAATATTTGAAATTATAAAGATGAAAATTTGTGAAGACGTTTACCTGTTTGTTACTTGTTATTCAATTACGTTTAAACGACCGAAAAGATTTTGCCGAAATTTGATACGAAAATAGACTACCTCTTTTTCTCTCGTGGGTGTCGTAAAAGGATATTAAGGAAATTTATTGGTCTATGTGGTCCTGCCATAGAATGGGCCACCCCATCTTTTCTCGTGAGTGTTTTAAGAGACGACAGAGGGAAGGCGAGGGATGGGCAGCAGCGTCCCTTTTAAAATATCATCAAAACATAACTGCGATTGCCAATCCGCATGCCAAACGTGGCAACTACTGACAAACACCACAAGAGGCAGGCTTATGTTCAGTATTGGACTGTTAAGGGCTAATATAAAGATGGTAATAATTGTAAACGATGTATGTATATATATATATATATATATATATATATATATATATATATATATATATATATATATATATATATATATATATATATATATATATATATATTGTAAGTATAGTATTGGTATTTATATAAATATATGTCGCAGGTTTTATTTTTTATGAGCAAAATGTAATGGCGACGGTTACCATTTCCCATCAGGTGGGCCATCAGCTTATTTGCCATTTTAAGTTGCATACAAACATAAACTTTGTTAGAATGTATCGGGATACATTGACTGACTTGCATACAAAGTAAATTTTGTCTGTTTTGTAACTCCCTTTCACGTTTAATACTTAAACGGCCATATTACGTAACTGTTATAAAATTTTGGTTTGTATACTATATGGAATAAAAAAAGACATAGGCTATTTTTATTTCAATTTTAGTCAAAAAACATATCCCGGTCAAACGAACACAATCGTCAGTAAAAGCTTATATTTGAAGAATTTAAAATTCAGTAACTAGTCCGC